AAGCAGCCTATTAATCCATCTTGCCCAATGGGAAAGTGTTGTGATGTCTTACAGGTTTATTATTTAAAATGTTTGAGGTTAACAGTAGAGCGCGTTGGTTCATTGTGGTCTGTTCAATATTAGGCCTGCTTACATAATGATTGCAGTAGCCCTCTTATGAGACATTTGAATCAAATCTGCCCTTATAACCTCCCCTACGATGCGTAAGATAAAACATGATGTCAGGAAGAAAGTCTTATTTTTATTTAATAGGGTCATCGTAATACTTTTGGTATTGGGTCCATAACCCGAACATTCACCCAACATTCACTTATTTCATTTCCTTTACATGGAATAAGTATGAATGGTTTACACCACCACCACCACCACCACCACCAACAACAACAAGAATAACCCAATCTCTTTATCTAACTATAAAAGTTGTTGATATTACTATCAAGTTGAAAATATTAAAAAGCTTATTCTTTGATGAGGTTACATTTTCAACGAAACCAATCACAGTTAAAGAATAAATAAGATGGATTTATATTTGATAATAACTTATGACCACTATCATGTTTATATCGGATGGAATTTTGTTAAGTGATGTAATAGAATCTTTATTTATTATTATTTATATGATGATTCGTTTGAAAAATGGTTGAATAAGAAGTAGAACAATAAAGTTCAAATGGATTGAAATCAATTTGATCTTTTGTTAAAAATTTCATGAACATGATCATTTATTCATACGATGCGTTTCTTTGATAAACAACAGAAAATAGTGTCATTTTCGTTTTTAGGTTTCATTGAACTGGATAATTAAACCGTTCAGCTTCCATTATCGTTCTTCATGATAAGTAAGTTCTTTTCATGTCGTCTAAAACTACAACGACAGTTCAGACAACAAAGTATTAACCATAAAAGCATCATTCTCAGTTACTATTCTGCTTGAACGTTTTATATGAAATATCCATCACTTATATTTATGATGGAGTTACTTTCATAGAGCTCATAGTTTAATCGGTGAGTTTTCATTGTCTTTCTAAATAACACTGACAGTTATTAGTCGATAAATTATTATTGTATAGCCAGGTACTTCATGTACAGGTATGTTGACATTTTTGTTACGTAATGGATGAAAATGAAAAAATCATTAACCGTTTTCTTTCAGTTCAGGAATCTGTAATACCTTGTGCCTACTGATCCATATCAGTTAGGGAGAAGAGAAACCACTGAAAATTAAGAAGCAGTTCACAGATGGTTCATTTCAAGTTGAAACTTTCAACATTTAATAAACATAAAGAACTTTAGATTTCCCAGTGTGAATTTGTTCCCACATCTTTTTGAACAATTGAGTTGGATAATGACATTTTATCTGGTTCATTTAACTAATCATGTCATTACCAACATTTTACTTGATATATTCGTACTTCCCTCAATAGAATAGAACACTTTATCATCCATCCAACTTATCCAAGCTACCATGTCTGATTCTATTTACACTTCACACTATTATACTCATACAAATCCAACTCCATACTGCTTACATATATTCCATCTATTAACATAAACACATACAACTACACAAACATGTCTCATATAAATCCCTTCGATTGAAATCATATAACATTAACTTGGTCAGACTTTCTTTTCTGATTAATTTCACTCAATATTCTTACTTTGTTCCTTTATATTAAGTAAACTTGAGTTCACTTAATGTGGTTTATTAATCTCTGAAGAAGCAATTTACACTGAGTCACGAAACGCCAACGAGATCTATTTTTCTACCCATTAGGATAATACAGATACATGATTCTTAATAACAATAGTATGATGATATATAATTGACATTGGTTACTTTATAACAGCAGAAGACACAAAAGTATAATCAGACATTTATTGATAAAGCTGAACTGAATTATTTGAAAGTTTCATAAATGTCGATTGAATATACAGATGTGATTAGTTTACAAGTAAATGATAAATGTCACTTAGTATGAAAGACAGCAACATAAAAAGAAAACATTTTTGGTGGATCAGTTTATATGAATAACTCCGTCTGGAACCCCTCTGAAGCTACTGCTAGTCCTAAGCCCGAGCAAAGGAGGACGGTTGGGCATAGGGTTAGCAAACCACATCCCGTAGAAAACAAACTCGTTGTTTATATGTAGGTCTTACAAATACAGAAATGAAAAGGCGGGAATACTAAATAAGGCGTAGAAATAACAATAGGAAAATTCTGGGACAATTCAGTGACCAGATGAATCAAAATCTATTAAAAAATGAACTACTGATAATGAGTTATGTAAAATCAAAAATCTTGATTCTTATCTCTACATAAGAATAATGAATTAGGAATTTGTATGTTAAAATTGAATCATTTTCAAAGTTACATTCAATAACTTAACGAGTAACTTATCAAGATAATTCCAAAGTCGGGTTGTGATAGTAGTTGACAATAACGTGTGACTTACTAATTGTCTTAGATACTGTCAGTCTCTTCCCTAAATCTTCACTTAAAATATGAATTCTTATATTTCAATAGCTATAAGCTGATCATGTTTCTAAGATCTACATTCCCTGTGATAATCTGTTTAGTCGATTAAAAATTTAGTAAACTTCTATGTCAATAAGAAATTATAGTTACGAACATCTGTTTCGTCCATTTCATCATATTGTGGGACCACTTAGTAGTGCACATCCACGACCCCAACTCGTGGGGTTATTTTATATTCTATAGTGGATCACACAATGGATCCATGTGGATAGAAGTGTTTCAAACTAGAACAGAATATCAGTTCAGTACTGCCTATCTTGCTATACCTCATCAGCACAACAAGATCAACACCGGCTTCTTCGAAGTAGTTAATTCATTAGTGGTAATATATAAAAGAAAGATTTAATGTAAAGATATAATACAGAAATAAAGAATTAGTTGATAGAAAGAAAGATATGAAGTGGTTTTAATCTCATAGTTTAAGGGAGGATAGAGAGTGTAAACACCTACGTCATTGTGATCGATTATAAACCATGTCACCCAGAGCGTCCAACCATTGATTACGATAGTCACACGGACCCCAACCAAGTAGTCTGAATCTTTGAAAATAGTGATTGGTGTTTACATAACACCACAAATTGATTAAAGTTGAAGTAATCTAATGGTTTAAAAAGGTTCAAAATAAACTTAATGAATAGTTTGTCAGTATCTACTAATCCTTGGTGTTTCAATTCAGACATTTAATCAGTTTTTTAGCTGTAAAGCTAGATCGTTTAGATTGTGTTATAATAATTATGTGATAATAGTAAAGTCTATTTTATTATCATTTTTAAGTGATTATATATTGTGTCACTGGTCTTATAGATTAGTTCAATATACATATAAACTTTGATGGATTTTTGTTCTCTGAGCTAAATGGTTTGGTCGTGGAGCTTTCATCGTTCTTCTGAACGACATCATCAGCACAAACTTCAGATAGAAATGAAGCGTTCGAATTTCAGTTTGTATGGAACACTGTACCATAATATGAAATAAACTAATTCAACGATAATCTTCATTATACTATAAATGGTATAGGATAGGAAAACAATAAAATGCAAAGAGCACTTAATGACGGTTACACAACAGTTAAACATTTCCAAAACCCCATGTATTTGCCTATTTGATATTATGTAAGATTTTACCTAGAATTGTCAATTAATGTAGCACAGATTCTATTACTCATCAAATGAGTCTTTATTTACTTGTTCTCTATTTATAACCCAGATTGATTCATAATAGATAAGACTGTACTTTAAATCATGATAGCCTTATTAATTAAAGTGAAACCTATGTAATATATTAAACTTTCTAGCAATTAGTTCACGTTCCAAGATAAAATTCTTTAAACTGGGACTACCATGTGGTCCTTCCGGAACGAATTTTATTTTTTCGAGGTTCATAAACCCATCGCACGAATGTGATTTATTGGGGATAGCAGCCCCATTGGTCTTTGCATGTATAATGGTATTGAGATTTTACTTGCCATGGTTGTGCATAGTCTACTTGCATATACCTATATACTTGAACCACATAGGTCCGAGAACCTCTGAAATTCTCATACATAAACATATACATATGGTAACCCTACATGAATTGATCAGATACAATAGACTGTGTGATCGGTTCGATCTCTGCGACCTATTAAGTTGACTAACAAGGTTTCCTCTACTATCCAGCAGCTCCATAAGGAGGCCTTAAGTCGGATTTTACTACCAAATATGAATAATTGTAAATTATAAGTCCTTAAATATAATAAATGTCATCCCCTTTATACAAGTCATAAAACTCAATGACTAAGTACATAATGCGATGATATTCATCATAACGTTCGGTGCTACATTTAAATATGAACATGATTAATGAGATCCATATACATACAACTGATATAATCTCAAATGTAATAAAATGACTGTCCTAATTTCTTTTAGAAAGTAAAAGAAAATTAAGTTATTCAGTCAATATTAAGAATTCAATATCTTAGTGATATGAAGAAGTCACTTACGGGAAAAAGACAGGTTTAATACAGTAGGCGATTATATTTCAGTTTCCTACAAAATATCCGATCTTCTTCACGATATTTGAATGAAATCAGTATGTAGAATTTGCATTGGCTTCTTCCTGATCTTTTCACAGATATCGTTCAATTTTAAGATGAAGTTATGGATTAAGGTTTCTTGATTTCATGACCAAATTTGCGATTGTTCAAATAAGGTAAAACACTACTTGTCAATGAATGACATGTAGGGATACAATGTGATCGATTGATAGCTGCTTACAACAACATTGATCTAAACCGTCGTATGATCTGAGATCAAATAAAAACCCAGCGGTCTATGGTAGACTGAAAATTCACGTACACATATGAATAGGTCTTTATTTCTAATAAAACAAGACGATTATACACAAAATATGAAGAGAATAATAAACATGATTAAATATTATAGGCAATTGAAAGGGATCAATTTAATCAGTCACTTACATTCCATTTAGTAACAAACTTACCCCTCTTATTTATAGACAACAATAATGTCACGAATTAATTGAAGTCGGAAATGTCATTAACTCAATAATCTGAAGGTCACGAGTTTAACTCCAGAGAAGGTCGTTGGAAGATTTCCTGTGAAGTCCCATACCAGAACAAAATAATTATCAATTGCTCTACACTTTCCAAAAGTTCCCTATTTGGAATCAACCAGTTGATGATGCCGATTTTCATCAAAATGTTTGTATATTTTATTCTAAATTGTATCATTACATTCTTCACTAAAAATCAAGTATGTTACATAAGATATTGATTTGGTAATTCAAGATTATATCTTTTCTTTAAAAAAAAAAACAATCATAAACATCTCTTCATTTACTTTTTATTCTTGATGAAGTTTTATTCTTTGAGTTGGATGGTTTGGTTGGTGGAGTTTTCATCGTTATTCAAATAAACCTTTATGCTAATATGATGTCATTCAAAAGGAACAATAAAAGCTCCATAATCAAATTATTCAGCTCAGAGTACAAAACTTCATCAAAATCATTGATCTGAGCTATAAATCTTCTCCACTTTTTTTTTATTATACAGTTTGTAAATGAATCAGACTAATTCATCCTTATTCCAATTGTCTATATCTCTGATAAACAATTTATGATTTATACAATATAACACAATGATACACCATATTATTCAAATGTTCAACAATCATTTCAATCACCATAGTGATTAGGATAAGTTTAACAATGATCAGAATAATGATGATCCATAATAAGAAGATCATAAATGATAATTATGAAGTGAATATTTTTCAAAATTATACAAAACAATATTATTATTATTATTATTATTATATACAACAATTTATACCATCATCTTTATTCTTATTTACCTGGACAAAATTAATGAGAACTGAATTGTTTCGACAAACATTACAGAATGTCATTTTATTAAATTATGATAATTACGTAATGACTAGTTTACAATCCACTAATAGTCCGGTTAATAATAATAATAATAGTGACAATAGTAATGGTAATGGTAATAATAGTAATGATGATAATAGTAACGGTAATCATACAAATCCTAATTGATCTAACTCATAGAAACGCTTTAATCAAAAACATATTTGAATAAATTAAATAGCTTATTATTTGAATATTTATCATCTAACAAAGATTGGGCATCATCATCGTCATCATCATCGTCGTCGTCATCATCACCACCGTTGTTATCATCAACAAATATCATTGAACCATATCGTCAGTTTATTGGATAGAATAATTATGAATCAAGAAATTTTTTATATCAATGGTTAAATCAATCAATGAATCAATTGTAATAATTTATATGATGATAACACTTTGATCAAGAATATAAACCATGAAAGTAATCATTTATTGAAATTAGATGATAATCTACCTCTTGAAGAAGCAACAGTTCAATTCAATGATGAAAATAATGATGATAATAATAATAGAGATTTTCATGTTGATAATAAATATCATTTAGATTCATATAGGACTTCATTTAATATGCCCGAAATATATCATTCTAAATGTAACCCTTTATGGTCAGATATATGTTGTACAGACAATTATCATCCTGAATTATATCAGAATTGTTCCATTTGGAAGCAAACATCATCATCATCCTCTCCATCACCATCATTATCAGCGGCAGCAACACCACCACCACCACCTCCACCATCAATCACAGATTGTTCTTTGAATACTAAACATACAATGATGAATTCATCATTTATATCATTGAATAAATCTAATTTGAATCAAATTATTGATCATACAAAATTATATAGATCCCAATTACAATCTATTACTACTACTACTACTATTACGACGACGACGACTATTCCATCTATTTCATATTCTCTACCATTAAATTTTAATGAATTTATTTTAGATCAAAATATGTTATGTCCATTATGTCATAAATGTTTTCGATTTGAAGAAAAACAACTTGCTAAGACATTTACAAAAAGCCCATGGAACTAGTACAGGTGAATCATTATTAAAATGTAAATTATGTAATTATACAACAACAAGACATTATAGTAATATGTATGTACATATTAGAACACATACAGATTAGTAACTAATTAATTATATATATTTCATTGGTTGAAATCATGAGTCAATTGAAGCTAGACCACCATGGAAAACCTGAAAGACATTCACCCCGTTGTATGTCGTCCGGCTCAATGATCTAGTTGGTTAAGTGCCTGGTGCGAGACTGATAGGTCCTGGGTTCGAATCTCGCGGGGGACGGGATCGAGGATGCACACTACTGATGAGTCCCACAATAGGACGAAACGGCCGTCCAGTGCCTCCAGGTTTTCCATGGTGGTCTAGCTTCAATTGACCTATGAGTTCAACCATTAAATGTCATCAAGTTATACGAAACCAATTTTATATCATAATTAAAGTGATTTCAACAACATACAGATATAATAGGAACCAGGAAATCTAAGTACTATAGTACTCTAATTCATATCCATATATTAGATTAAAATCAAGTTAGTAGATGTAATATCTATTCGGTTATTGAGATTATTTTCCTTGAACATTTGAGCAATGTGTTTGTATTTTAAGGAAATCATCATGTTTAAGATTTGTTTGAACTGAATAATTATGAGCGCAAATTGTATATGTGTACTTACAAAAAAACGTTTTCAAACCATAGTGATACGATAAATACTTGAAAACTCCAACGGAGACAATGTAGTTATCGAAATGATTTCTTAATTGTCTATCCTATGAAGAAATAAGGGACGATTGTATTTGGAATACATACATGTTAAATCCATTCATGATTCCAATCAAATTCAAAAATTTCAACAACCCCTTATTGACAATTGTCATGCGCTTGCCACAGCCTAGCTTCGAGAAAACACGTCATGGCCAGTGGAGCAAATCCATGTCAGATTTGAGGCAGTTACCCATCAAAGACAATGTGAAGTGGATTGATCGAAGTTAAGCATCAACACCGTCGGAGACCAATTCAGCGGTCTACAGAAATTAAGCATTCGCGTGGGAGACTTCAGACGGTGAGCTCGATTCCCACGTGCGTGGTTGTAGACGAGCACTACCAAGTAATTTCACACTAGGACAAAAATAATCTTCAGTCCTTCCAGGTTTTCAACGGTGGTTTAACTTACATTAATTCATAATTTCAATAAAAATCTACCCATCTAGTATACAGTGAATGAAATGAAATTTGTAGAAGTTGATTTGTTAGAAAAACTTTATCGAAGATGATGGATAGATACTGAAAGCTGAAAATGAAGTGGTGTTGCATAATATAGTCATGATTATCAACAGATTTTAAGTATTGCGTATAATAGTTTATACATGGAAGGGTTTTATTTTAATGTAATTAAAGCTTTTAGCCATTGAATAAGATAGCGGTGTCGCAACATTTAATAATAATAGTCAAAGATCATCAAGAGCTTACGTTGTGTAATAGTTTTAAAAGTAAATAGATGTAATAGTCTACTAAATAAAAGCTGGAAACAACTGTCCACTTAATAAAGGAAGATAACAATGTAATAATTGAGACTTATGATTTTTAAAGTTCTTGTTATTTGAATCAATCATACTTTTGGAGGTTAAGCGTACGAGTACGAGACCAGTCCTGAGTTCGACCCCCAAGTGTAAAGCCGTGGGTGAGGACTGTTGAAAAGCTCCATACTTAGTTAAACAATCTCCCAGGTATTCTATGTTTTCAGACGTCTAACTAAAATCAGTTTGTCACTTAAAATCTGTAAGAATATATATTTGTATGATACTAAATTTGTATCGCATCAGAATACTGTGAATCATAAAATATATTCCATTGTTACATGCTTTCAATTTTACATAAAAATCAGGCTACAAATCCCACTACCAACAGTTCTAATAGTTTTTATTTGATTAATGGTGACAATTAGGACAGAATTTGGACATTCTCATAAAGCAGCATAGACAAAACACAGTAATTGATCGGTTTTAGCTTCGAATACTTGTAATAGGAGAAAATAAATGCTTACAATTAATAATAAGTATTGTGCCTAGCAAACAAGTTAGTTAGTCACTGTAAATCAATGACTTACTGGGTAGAGACTACGACTTATCAAATTTACTTAGTTACTAAGCCTATGTCTCAGTAACTAATGGTGTCAGATAAACCGGTTAGACATCTCAATTCAAGCCCTCAAATGCCCTGGTACGGCCGAGAGCGGAGACAGCCAGTTCTCTCTCTCTCTCTCTAAATGCTCTTACATGGCCACATGAATACAAACCCTGCCAGAGAAGTCCTACACATTGCCTTCTTGCGGCGGGGGTGTTGGTTACGAAAATGAGAGGACGAAAAGCGAAATGTTCAAAAATAAACACATTAAAAATATCCAATCAACATTGAATAATAAATATTTATTTCAATAGTCAAGATTATGAGTCAATTGAAGCTAGACCACCATGGAAAACCTGGAAGCACTGGACGACAGTTTCGTTCTATTGTGCGACTCCTCAGAAGTGCGGATCCACAATCCCGCCTAGCTAGATTCAACTGTTAACTGGAATTTTTTAAGTCAGCCCTATGCTTATGACTTTTTAAGTATATAATGTATACTATAGGTGAAATGCAGTAAAGCATCTATATGTTATATTATTTTGACTACTACTGTAATGTATCACGTTTACATTTTTCCGGCATTTAGAGTAGTCTGTTTTTTAATAGTTGAATTTATAATTCAATTTAAGCTACATCACCATTAAAAACCTGGGAACAGCGAATGGCCATTTCATTCTAGTGTGGGACTCCTCAACAGTGCGCAGGTTTTCAATGGTGATCCAGCTTAAATCAATTCATGAATTCAACTATTAAAAATGACTAAATCTCCACAAACCCTCATTCTGATAATAGTTTTTTTGTAGTGCGAACCTTGTTTAATTAAATAATTCAGTAATTTGTGATAGAGATTTTATTCAGTAAAATCAGAGTGAT